CAGCATGTGCCCAAACTCCAGCCGTCATCGACACGCTGCAGCCAGTACCTCGGTACGTGTTCATTGCGCCGTCGTATAATCCGAATTCTAATTTTGACCCAACAGAGTCATCCTGGGTTCCGCGCCGTCGTTGCTGCGTTGTTGCTGAGGGTACGTGCACCATCTTGTCCGTATAAGTAGATTTGTACATTTGATAGTGCTCAATGCAATATATGTCTTCTACCCTCATTGGTGTGAACTATGAGTGTTTCGGGGCAGCTTTTGGAAGCACTTTTTGGGGGTGACCAGGCTGCTTTTCTGAGGGTAAAAAGCACTTTTTTAAGCAAAGGGACCTAGCTTAAAAAAGTGCCGGACACTTTTTCCTCTTTTCCACTTTTGACACTTTTTTGGGTCCAAAAAAGGCGCAAAAGAGGAAAAAGCCCAAGGTGTCAAGTTGCTGATGGTAGCTGCACACGGGCTGTTGGCCGTCACATTTGGTTTTTCTGGGGGCAGTCAGTAGGTATGGAAAGCCTACACCCGATCGCACCCACTTGAATCGGCAAACTGAGCACGCTCGAGCAGCGTATGGTCCACGAGTGTTGGCGCCCTTGGCCATGGTGGTTAACGTCAAGAGTCAAACGTCAATCTTCCGAGTCCGATCAGATATTAGATATCAAGTCTTAAGATCTTGATCAAGCCCTGAGTCAAAGCTCTGTTTACAAGAGACTACTTATCTGCCCCCCTCCCTCGAGGGCACCTCCTAAGTACACGGTTCTGCCTCGGCCCTCTATATTCCAGGTTAACCCTCCACTTCTTTATTCAATGTTTCGTCCGGGCCCTCGGGCCTCACTAGAGACGAGGCTGACCCCTGTCCAATTTGTATGGGTATGGCAAGAAAACTTCACATCACTTGAATGGCGTAGACTGTAGTTCAACTACGCCATTCAGGAAAGTGATTTTCTTGAATTACTTACAATCTTCTTGTGACAATGCCTAAGTATTCTGGCTCTTTGGCATTTGCAAATGCAATGTGCATGGCATCAGGCATGATTCCCCTACTCTGTCAAGACAGTTGTATTGTAGTCTGTCTACGAGTCGGAGAGACTAGGCTACGTGAGACTATGGTTGAATGGCGGGTTGATGGCGGGGTTCTGTGTAAGTCACCCTGATGTGGGTGTGTGGCTGTACCTTCTGTACAGAGAGCGTGACCATCACATACGTGACCCGGTGACCGACAGCAAGCACAATGGAGGTGATGGCCGCAGCCGCCCGCGCGGCAACGCGGAATGGAGAGGTAGCCGGACTTGTAGTATGGATTAAAATTAAATAATTGTTTCATATTTTCAACCCCCGGATCAACGGCATCCCAAAGACCAGTCTGCCGATAGTCTGTAGCTGATCGCGAGCGCTTGATAGGTGGTGACGGAATGTCGTAATGTGCTGAGTTTCAAATCAGATCACTGATCATCACTCTGCTCTCTTCCTTGCGTGTCCTCCTCCCTGGCCTCCCACTGCCCGTACCATCACAAATGGGCGAACGGAATCACTCGAGCCACTGACGAAAACCCTCATGCGTCACTTTGGCGCCTGAATTACCTCATTATGGCTCTCTAGAGGCCTGCTCCACCGAACGACATCCGGGGCTGCATCCAGCTCAAAATCATCTCAAATACCGCGCATTGACGCTGAGGGATCTTAATCAAGTTGGAGGGGACTGTGTGTGATTGAGGACTTGGGCTTTCGTGCGTAACAATACTTTGTAGGCGCCGGTATGCGACTCATCCTCTGCTATCCAGTGTCGAGTCATCCAGACACGAGCGGAGGGTGAAAGAGATGCACCCACTCCCTCTTTTAGCATCTCCACCAGCCACCCCATCTGCTTCTTCTCATTGACTTCTCGCACCCGTCCGAGGCCGACGTTAGCTGTCGTCCACTGGCTATGAAGGCTACGCCCTCCAGGCCGCACCCTCCCAGCCATGGCTCTGCACTTTCCGCCTGCGTCAGCCCCTTCGCCATGCCCCTTGACGGCTTCGCCGCTCCCGCTGTTGACTCTAGCTCTCCGGCATTGCCGGGGCCTGAGATCGAGCGTCTCGCGTCAGTCTCGGTGGAGTCGTCGGCGTTTAACAAACGACAGCCGTTGGCACGTCCGGATGTACGTCCAGAGTCCAGAAGAGCGGAGGCGGGGAGATTTGCGCGACACTGGTATCCACGGGTCGTGAGCGTGAGGATTGTGGCCACGCTGTGAGTTCCGTGTCTTATGCCTAGTAGGAATGATGCAGCATTGAAAACGGAGAATTGAGATGGAGAGTTGAATTAAAGGAGCTCGAGTGCCGCTGAGACGCAGAGTGTCGACGACTCGGGCTGCCGACGTCTGGAGATGCTGAGAAAATTGGTAATCGGCCAGAATTGACATTATATGTACTGGAGGGGTAGAAATACCGTATATACGCGTCCAAGGAGCGGTTTTGGGTCCCAGAGGCAGCGTAAACGCGTCCAGACGCGCAGGGGAAGCGTGGGAAACCTTTCAAACTCCGCACTTTACGGCATCACGCCACCACCTATCAAGTGATCAACCTTATCAACAGACTATAACACGTCGAAGAATGAGACACATGTGTTATAGCGTCTGTTTATAAGAGACTAGTCTGCCGAGGGGCCACGCAATGCAGTGCGTCACTGTGCGTGACGTCACGCTCATTTCCGTTTTGAATTCGGAAGTCTTCCTTGAGTCTTCCCAGTTACTTCCCACCTTCATGAGCCCAGTCCCGCAGGAGCTCATCGATCTGATTGTCGACAATCTTGCAGGGGACTTGACTAGTCTCAAGTCCTGCTCTCTTGCAGCACGAGCATGTGTCCGTCCATGCCAGGCTCTCCTCTTCAAAAGAATGGACATCCTCCCCCCTGCGCACAACCACACCGGGGATGGCCCATGCCAGAGATTCTACAAAAGAATCACCTCATCCCCACATTTGGCTTCCCATGTCCAAGAGTTGTGTGTCATACTGGCAGTGGGAGCCAAAGACCAGACGGCCCCAGTGGAGGAACCACGTCCATCTTGGATCATGTCAGGGAGGACACTCTCCCTGGTTCTTCCCCTCCTCAAGTTAAAACACATAGCCCTTGTCGACAACTCAACTCCAGGTCAGTGGATGACTGGTGGCTTGGTTTGGAGCCGACTGGGCCGCTCCCTTCGATCCGCCCTAGCTGCCGTGTTTGCCTCGCCGACTCTCCAGTCTGTCGAGTTGAAACATGTTACAATATCCTCACCTCGGGAGTTGCTGTCCCTTTTTTGTGACGCAACTTCCTTGAAGAGGCTGCAGCTCTGCAACGTCCAGTTTGACCCAGCCTGCAGATACGACTCCTGGCCACAGTCACGCGTTTGGCACCCCAAACTGACTGCGATGGTCCTCAGTGAACTATCCGGCGACACTCTTTTCACCCACTTTCTCAATCCCCAAATCGACTTGTCTGGTGTTACCAGCCTTTCAATTTCAGCCGTGGATATGCACAGCTGGAGTTTTGGACCAGAGGTTGCACCGGCCCTCCGAGATCTAACCATCTACATGCCTGAGTGTGAGTGTTATGATTTTTTTCTTTTTTTTTTTTTTTTTTCGCATCCAAAGCATCACCCAGCTGAAAACACTTCAGGTCTGAGTTACAAATACATTGTAACCCCCAACCTCCGTTCACTGAAACTCTTCTCAGAGGACTGGAGTGCAGACCTCTTCGAGTTTTGCAGAGACTGCCCCAGGAATGCACGTCTTGAGGTTCTCTCGCTTGACGGAGCTGGAGCTCTGACATCGAGTACCATCAATTTGGCCGCGCTCAACGAGGCTGTGGAATCTTTCCTCTCCGACCCAAGGGGGTACCATGATAAGAAATTTCCTATTAAAGGGGGGAGGGGGTGGTCCCTTGGATGGCTGAAAAAAAAGTTTTGTACCAACTTTTGGTAGAGCAGTAGAATGGCTCTCCTGGCAAGACCTGGTGCAGAAACAGAATTTTAGGCAATTTTCTGTTGCACCAGCCAGAAAGGTCACGTGATTATATGATCACGTGCTGACGTGATGTGGTGGGACATCATCAGATATATGTTGCTCGATAATGGGTGTTTCTTGCTTCTGAAGTCAATTGGAGGACACAGGAATAGTTCTGCACCCTACACCAGCCAACGGCAGGCAAAAATCACTAAAATCACCACGATAGGGGCTTCCCAAAAAGGAAATTTCCTCTTTGGGAGGGGGGGAGGGTAGGCCAATCTGCCCGAGAAAAAAAATTCGGGGTGTAGTACGGCTCGCTTATCGTGGTACCCCCTTGCTCCGACCTCCCCTCCTTCAAACAAGTGCATCTTCGAGTTCTAAAAAGTCATTGCCCCGACGAAAAGAGATTCCTCAATTGGTCGCAAACGACCCGAGCATCGTTGTACTCTTTGGACCGTCGTGGTTTCTTGGTTTTAACCAGGTTTTAACGTAATCAGTGCCACACGTGTAACATACAATAGCGTTACCCTTAACGCCCATAGCCGTTCAACCGGCTGTTGTAAATTTTCTGTTTAGTTTTACATTTCCTTGAGCCCGATGTAGATAAAGATGAGATTATCCACATCTGTACTATTGTTATCGGGCTGTGCGCCCGGAGATCAATCTATCTTACCTCTTACTTCCATCTCGCCTAAGTGCCTGCAAGGCTCGGAGGCTCATTGGAATAAGATTAGGCTCAATTCCAGCCTGTCTATGAACAAGTGTCGATAGACAGGCTGGTTGAGTTCGTTTGATGGATCCCACTCGCGCGATCAATGATTTAATTACCCATAGTTTTCATAGACAGACCAGATTCTGGTCTAGAATAAGATAAGTAGTTCTACTGTTGTTACTGACATTCATCTATTTCTAGTTATTCTGTTTTCACACAACTCGGACGCCGTACTAGCGCTCGCCAGTCTATCCCTCGGAGTCTACCCAACAAGAAATATTTGTGGACGACTCACTGTCTATTCCATGGGTCCTGAATTCAAGTTTGTTGCCGGTTCGATGGTGTAGTTGGTTATCACGTCTGTCTCACATGAACCTGAATCTCCTCACGTGACTCACAGGAGGTCTCCGGTTCGAACCCGGGTCGAATCAGCTTTTGCTCCCCAACGGATCCATTCTCTTTTGCACACCCTTGACCCACCACCCAGCACAAGCTCTGCGAACATCCAATCACAGTTTCACATATTTTTTTTCAACCTGCCTTGACTTTGAGAATACTCTGAGAATCAGGCGAAACAAGATTGAAGAATAAATCAGGTAGAAAGTGACCCATACACCAAAAGATTCCTCATGTAACAATTAAGTTGGGTCTCACCACTCCCAGTGAGCAAACACCACATATATATGCAGCCACTCTGAATCGAACAAGCAGTGATTGCAGGCTGGATGGCTTGCGCTAACAGTCAGTTCAAGGTTGTATTCACCTTGCCATCCATGCATAAGTACATACTCTGAATCCTCTAACTTTCTAAGTTCCAAGTTGAAGATGAATGCCATGAGATCAAGGAACACAACAGTTGGAGCTTGAAAACCTCATGCACGTGAAGGTGCTCTCAGCCCTGGTTACCTCCTTCGGAGTCCTGCATGTCCCCAGTCTGTATTAGGCAGGTGGGCGAAGGAAAGCTAGGGCTGCGGACCCGAACCGTAACGGTGACGGCCGTCAAATTGACGGCACAAAACGGCTGACAGCTGACCCGTACCCGTCCCGTCAACCTGGGTCGAAGATCTCTGACGGGTCGGTTCGGCATCAAAAACGGCCGTCACGGTAGACGGTTCGGCTGACTCAGTCACGTGTTATCATTTCGAGGTGGATCACAACACAGTTGGACTTTCAACATACCAGAAGTATTCCCTGCAAATCTGCAAGGGTTCAGTGGTATTTGTAGTACAAGGACTTAGGAACGGCTGTTGACTGCAAGTCCGAGTGCGACTGATCATCGGCAATCAGTCTTTCCAAATCGGGAGGCCTCCGACTCGAGAACGCACTTGGAAACACTCCCAATTTACAGGTTATTTACCACATGAAAACATTCCCAAGTGCTATCCGGCCTCAATGAAAGCTGAAATCAAACAGCGAGTGCGCAATCAGCCATGACAGTGTACAATATAGGTTGACTCCCACCTAGGATGATTTTGGATGTCATGGCTGACGATCGCCGAAGAGGGCAGGTGCCAAGGAGATGCCAATCTAGTCCTGATTTATTACCTCCGGACTGCCACCCGTCAACGGCCGTGACGGCCGATTTTTGACGGGGTCACGACAGTATACGGCCCGTCAACGACGGTACCGTCAGATTCTGTTTCAGGAGCCCGACGGGTCGGTTCGGGATGCCGTCGACAGGCGGCCGTCAAGCGGTCACGTACGGTTCGGGTCCGCAGCCCTAAGGAAAGCTTCCCTTCAACTCACCGGTTCTATCTCGAACAACGTCAAACACGACAAGGCTTCAACTTGAAGGAGAGGGACGTTCCATGCAAACGACCCGCTGTGACGCCTGGAGGGCTTAAGTACTTGGACACGGCCAGCGCCTCATCGTATTCTATTTTCATGTAACTATTAGATAATCAATCAATTCTTACTCTCGTCTCTCATGTTCTGACTCTCTGATACTTGAGGCGAACCACCTATACGGTTAGACCCCCTGCATGCCTGAACACGCGTACAACTGTTCTCCGCATACGGGGCGCCTCGAAGGCCTCGTATACGGGCTACTCTCTACTTTGTACCCCGGGGTTCAAATCAGGAAAAATTCACTTGGCCATGGAGGGTAATGTAAGCAACATAGAGCCGGTAGTGCTGTCAACTGCCCCCTAGTTTATAGGTGTATGTAGTTGAGCCCTTGAATTATATCTGACTACAGTGATCTACATTCCTTGGCAGGTGATCTATGAATCTATGTCAAGTCGGAGCTCTGTGCGGCTGTAGCTGTACATCGACCAATGTAGAGCAGGTGTTGTAGAACAGGGCTAGAGGTAGCTCTGTCAGTTGAGTTCGAAGGAAATCCTTACAAGTTCACCACTTGGGTGACACACAAGGTATGTAGACAGACTGCCGAAGGCCGAGCAACATGCTTATTTACTCGGGCAACCAGAGTAGACTGTAGGCTACTAGCAAGTAAGACAGTGGAGGTCGAAGAACAAAGATTCAGTTCACACACGGTGAGTATCACACGAAGATGGTCAAGGTAGTAGTCAAAGAGGTCTGATTCAAAACGGGGGCTATCTACGGCTAATATACTACGGAGTCATTACCAAATGAGTCAACTCGGGTGCGGGACAAACACGATCACATGCGCGTGCAGCTCCGAAGTTGAACCGAGATCGCGTCGACTGAGTCAGAATTTTCTGATGAGAAGGGAATCAAGTATTTACCCGGAATGTACCCATATCCATAACAGCAGGGTAATCACACTTGAGACTCACCATATTCAAAACCCAAATCATTCACTCAGGGAGCGCACAAAAGGGATAGGAAAAAGAAATAAAGATTAGTGCAGCCTAAATATCTAGCTACTCACCATCGTGCGCATCTCCGGCACCCATCCCATCACCCCTCCTCCTCCCCACCTGTCTTGAACCTCCTTCACCGTTGCGTTATTGAATCTTGCTTCGCTGAATAGGTAGGTTGTGCAAAAGCCGCGCGGCTTTTTAAAAATTTGAATGAAGCTGCAGGGCAGGTTCTTGTGTGGCGGATAAAAAACACCCATGAAAACTGTTCAAAGATGCACAGGAATAATTGGGCAACAGGCTGACCCCGGAGCTGCGCGGTGCATTGTGCAAAGCCGCGCGGCTTTTGTACAACCCGTCTAATGCCTGCTAACCCTTCTTAAATCTTGGATTCTCAACTTGAATCAAGCTGGAAGTATTGCCAATGTCGGTTACATTTTCCCAGCTCAACGCTTAGATAGCTAATGTAGATCGTAGTAGCAATGGCTTTGATCTACATCTCCCGCCGCATCAACTACCATGTCAACATTGCATACAGAGTCGATGCCCGGAGCTACACAGAACGATGATGCGCGTGATAGCCTTGGCGCGCCGCAAAATCTTCAGCGATTTTTCCTGATAAGTTCGAGTGCGTTTAACTATGCTGCCGAACCCTTTCCCGACCTCATCTCGCTCGTTTCCCTACAAGCTCCTCGAGGTCAACCTGCACTTCAGTCACCGTGAAGCTCCAGAATCCGCACCGCATCACACCCGCACTGTGCAGGAAACGGTGAGCAGTGGCAGCGGACGCATGGCACTGCGTAGGAAAGAAAAATGATTCATCCAAGCCTTACTACGGCCGCCCCGAATCAGCTTCACGGCGCAGAGCTTGAGATCGAAGGGCGATCAGTCTAGAGAACATGGTTGAATACTATTTTGGTCCCTGCTGAAAAGGGAAGGTATATTTATGACATTTAAAGTTGAAACTTGAATGTGTGGTACATACCTTTCTCTCGAGGTGAGCCGCGAAAGTCTGCATAACTGACGCATGGCTCTGGCAAAGAAAATAAAAACTCGACGCAGTATCTATCACCCAGCCCCGAGTCGAACGAGGTTCCCCTGCCCAGATGTGAACTTCGTTGCAATAGGTAGCAGGTGCATGCCGTGTGCTGCTGGGCGTCGTTCACAAGTCGTCGAACGTGATAAGTAAACCAAACCAGAGAACGTTCTCATCTCTGCACAGTTTGAATCACTGCGTCTAGATCTGCGTTCGCTGCATGAAAATAAGTGGTTGAAGGCGTCGGACATACCTTGCTTGAGGTGGACGACTTTTCGCAGGCTTTTGGTCCCTTGAAGTCCCTCGAGGAAAAAGGAGAGCACCGGCAATAAACGGCCCAGCCCCGAGTCGAACGGGATCCCTACCTATAAGTACCTATGAGCAACATCACAATGATTAGCAGGCGCACGCCGTGTGCTTCCGGGCGTTGTGTACAGTGGTCGAACGCTATAAAACAAGTAAGAGAAGCTGATTCCCGGTTCCAACGGGAGGCTATCGCCGTCTGCAAGGGAGACTGCGAGGATACGGGACGCCGGTGGAACCCAATGTCCAGACTTGGGTTTTTAATTTTTTCCTTCCCACCTTGGACGATATCTTCGTTGGGCAACTTGAAGGGTTCAACGTCGCAAGCAATGTGCAAGAGTCATCCTATTGCGTACTATTCTTCTACCACGGCATCTTCTCCCCATCGAACCTATAAAACGTCGCGCTCTCCTTGGTCGTGAGCCCGTCAATGAGCTTGAGCATGGCCTTGGCCGAGGTCTCCGGCGACATACCCCCCGGCCCATGAGCGTTGCCCATATCCGTGGCAACCCATCCAGGATGAATGGGAACGACGGTAAACTCCTCCTTTTGCAGCTCATTGTGCGTCTGCACCGCGAGCATATTGAGGGCAGCCTTGGAGGTACCGTAGCAGCCTGCAAGCCCAATCGAGCCGGGGAGGGCCTGCTGCCCGATCGAGCCGCTGGAGGAGGAGATGACGATGATGCGCCGTGTTTTGCGTGCACGAAGAGCGGGGAGGAAGGCTCGGATGACGCGGTGTGGGCCGAGGAGATTGACGTTGAGGTACGTTGCCAGCTCGGCAGTGGAGGTCGTCGTCACGGGGTCTTTCTTGCCCATGCCCGCGTTGATGATGAGCGTGTCGAGCTCGGGGATCTGGGACGCTGCTTTCAAGACCGAGTCATCGTCAGAGATGTCGAGCGTGAGGACGGTGGCATTCGGCACGTCGAGCGCAGCGTTGGTGGCTCTGACAGACCCGATGGCCTTGGTGTTTGGTGTTTCAGCCAGTTGCTGAAGGAGGGCGAGGCCTATGCCTCGAGATGCGCCGACGACCAAGACGATCTGCTCCGACGACATGACTGTTTCGAGTCACGGAGCTATTTTGTTGATGCCCGAGCGTGGGAACAAACGCGCCTCTTTCATCCGCCCATATCGCACATCGCGTCCAGTCGCGTCAAGATGTCTCTCTCGCGCTTAAACACCGCTCCCATCGAGCTCCAGTTCATGGCTACCAAGCACCTGGGCCCCTACGACCTCCTCTCCCTCAGCCACGTCTCTACTTACTGGCGCGCCTTTGTCCTCAGCGACAAACGCTGGGCAGAATGGTTCTCCA